CTTTTGGGAAAGTTGGGGCGACTAATTTTTTTTTTTTTTTTTTGCAAAGGCAGCAGTGAAACCCAGTTGTATACGATTTCTATTGTTCCTGAGCCACTCGTTGGACAACAACAAAAGCAGTTTACAAAACTCAATAATTCAAGCTGAAATTTTATATAGATGAGTAGAGCATTCACTCCCCTTCACTTTTGATCTCTGTCTTCCAAGATGATTACCTCCTACATTACCTCATAAAACCCACAAAGCTCTTAGAATACAGTGGCATAGCTGTACTAAATGTTTATTTGTAAAATAAATATATATAAAAATATAAACCACAATCAAACCATTATAGTTTCCCTGTAATACCTACCGTGATCTACCTTCCATTGGCTGTCTGTTTAAAATCTGAATAGGGCCTCTTGCACGGGAATGAATCTTATCATCTACCATGTGCTTTAATCTCTGATAGTAAGTAGGTCCAATAAAAATTTGTGATGTGATCTTACGACCAGTGAATCCATTGTACAGAACCTGTATTTAAGAAAAGAAAATACATATAGTTTCTAATTATAGTGTTGCACACTGAAGGCCACACAATCGTTATGCATTCATACTGTCAATACACAAAAAGTCTTCCAGATCAAGATGCATTTGTAAAAATTATATATATATTACACATTTTACAAATCCTTAAAAGAAATCAATGCTTCATCTGCATGTTCAAAAAATAAATAATGATCTGCCCACTTGCAAAATGACAGAAAAAATATATATATTTTAACCCCTTCACGACAGCTTGTTTTTAGTTTCTGTTCGTAAATGACTGAAGCACTTTTGATATTTTAGCTGTGTGATTCTACCACGTCAGTAATATACTTTCTTACTAAGTGCACCCGCACTTATTATATATTGTTTTTTGGAGGACAGGTTGGGCTATATATTTATATCACATATGTGTACCTAACACCACACTTATGACAGATAAAACATAAAAAAAAGAAGAAGAGGAAAAAACGTAAAGAAAACACTTTCCAGTTTTAATTTGTAGGATTTTTAAAACAAAAAACAGCACAGCTAAAAAAATGCATTAAATACATTCATTTATTTGTCCTATATTTGGAAAAACTTAACCTCCTTAGGATTTTAGAAATGTTTCTGTACTTCCCAGCCTAAAACCTAACATTTTAATCTATTTTCTCTAAAAGCTAAAGTTAAAAGTGGTCATCTGGTATACAATGTCCCCAAGTGTCACACTGTCATGAGGGGGTTAAAAGAAAAATTAACCCCTTAGGGTGAAAAACAAATTTGCAGTCCAGCTGCAGATTTTCATTGTAAGGAGTTAATTTTTATATTAATGATAGTATACAAATATATTTAAATAAATATATTTAAATATATCATTTTTATTTGTTGCACTTCATTTTTTTTTACACTTATTTTTTTAAATATTTTACATTTTCATTTAATTACATCAAGCAGGCATTGTGAATTAATCTCACTATTACTGCTCGATAATGTAATTAATTTTTGGTTATTATCCGGCTGCTTCAAACTTAAGAACAGCCAGTAATAACATTAGTGACACTTATCCTGCAGTATTTTCATATCAGATGTCACGGTTTTCTGATCGTTCCAACAACGATCAGAAAACTGCAACATTGTTTCAGGAATAGAAACATGTAGCTTATGTTTCTGAACGTTTAGGGAAAAAAAGCCGGTATACATTGGGATTTCCCGATCTATATCAGCTGTCAGAGTGATGGCAAGAGCTGCAAATGCCACTCTGCTCTCACTTTTAGACACCCGATTCCTGAAAGGGATCGGGTGTCTGAAAAAGCTTAACTCTTTCATTAATGGATGCCTCAATACTGAGGCATCCATTAATGAATGGTAACCACTGATTCTCAGTGGTTACCAGCATTACAGAGTCGCAAATAACTGATCACGTACAGTGTACGTGAGCAGTCATTTGGACACTTCGTGGCGGGACATACAGTGTACGTCTCCCGTCACGAAGGGGTAAAACCTCTTTCCTACCATCCTCAATGCATTTTAAAGAATTATCCATAGCAACAGGAAAAAAATAAATACACCAGTAATTCATTTTCTACCATAACAGCACCCCACTTGAGATGGACAGCAAATACGATGAAACTTTGAGCTTGCAAATTACCTCCTTCGTGCATACCTAGCACAGACAAACAGGGCGGCCAACATACCCTGTTCTGTTAAACTGACTGTGGAAAACAGTTTTTTTGCTACAGCACACCGGAGAAATCTAGGTAAATACTGAATGGTATTTATCACAGAAGATGACATTTTCTAGCTAAAGTCCACCTTTTAGTCCTGGCCCACATTCCGTTTATAGTGCTTCACAAGTAATAACACTAGATCACATTGCAGCCCTGTAGATCTGATGTAGCATAGCTGTACAGGTGGACATGTTGAAAACTAGCTTTAAAGCACTTAGGGTCATAGTTACTGATGATCAGATAAAGTAACATGGCTAAAAAGCCCACCAAAAATCTATGTAGTGATAGTAATCCTAAATGCTTTAATATAATTTTTCTTCCTTAGTACTCAATAGGGATATTCTTGTTTATTTTGCTCACAGGTGAGGATGGTTCCCTTTAATAGCCATTCACACCCCTTTGTGTCAACCTGTGTGCATGTTATCAGGCCAAAATCACCAGGGTATGTAAACACAGTTGATTGATAATAAATGGGTTCAGCCAAATACTACCCATGCTTTGAAGCTTTTAGGCCTCTCTCATCTTTTTAAGTGGGAGAACTTGCACAATTGGTGGCTGACTAAATACTTTTTTGCCCCACTGTATATATCCCCATATCTCTCTCTCTCTCTCACACTCACACACACACACACACACACACACACACACACACACACACACATATAGACATATGTATACACACACGCACCCCAAAAAGAAAAAAAAGTAAATCATAACTACTGCTGGTAGTTTTTTTTCTTAGATTTAATTTGTTAGATCAGTATAATTTACCACTATGTAGTATGATGACCTGAGAAAATCCATTTGATCCATAGGCCAACATACAAAATTTTTTGGTTAACCTTTCTGATCTAAGATCAAATCTAACTGGTGTGCATTCTTGCTTGAGGTTTAAACACTGCAGCAACACTAAATATGGCACAGTGCTTAATAAGCAAATATAGCTTCCCCCCATGTGCATACATATAATTACAAACTACAAAGAGAAACAAGATTTACTCAAGCTATCATTTGAGGTATTCTTCTACCTGTGGGCAATACCCTCATGCCTGCTGGGGAGACGAGTTTAGCCCAACTATCCCGAGGAGCTAGGACTTGCCTTCTAGCTCTGTGGATTTAGTCAAATTTCTCTGATTCTTCAAAAAACTGCTGATAATGCAATGGTGCATTACCAGGTCCCTGAATTGTCTTTCCAACAGACCAGTTTCTTCCCGGGTCTGCTAAAATGTAGTACTTCATTGCAATGGTTTTGGACTTTGCTCAGTCACTACAGTTGACATTCTGGAGTTAGTGTCTCTGAATTATTGAGCCGTCATGCTAGAACACCAGAAATTCACCACAGTGGCTGTCCTACCCGTTTCAGACTGGACCTGAGGCTTTGAAGACTCGCTACGGTGAGTAAAGCTGTTCACTAATTTTAATGTGCCCTTTAAAAGGTGCTTTTATGACAAGTATATCTGTAAAAAAAAGTCAAGGCAACTGGACTTGCTGTATTTTTTCTTGAAGACGTTTCACTGGTCATCCAACCAGCTTTCTCAATTCAGAATGGCTTGTACAAAAATTATCTGGGAATAAACATGGTGAATGTTGCTCCAATCCACATAATCTGTTATTCACAACCAGGTGTTGATCGCACTTGCATAATAGGAGCTAGGAGGCGTTATTAACCCCCCCCCTCTATTCAAGCTGGGTGGGTACTTGACTATCTTCAAAGGAGCAACCTTTTTCCTTCAGATGCAGGTATACTGCTGAATCCTGACAGAGGGTTTGGCTCTTCTATGGCGAGACATCTGTCTGCCACTGCCTGGAACTCATGCAAACAAGCTTGAAATTCCTCTCTTACTCTAATCCTGGAGTTCCCGGAGCTTGGTTCTAGACACCAGCTCTGCAAAGGTCTTTCTGTGGAGCAAGGCAGCATGGCTTTGGAGGCAGCAAATCTCCTCTACGCAACTAAATGTGGGTCCTGAAACTCATGTCATCCTTCTAGGCAGTTCCATTTGCTCAGTTCCACAATAGGACCCTGTAGAAGGAGATCATATTCAGATGGGACAGACCTCCTTTCACCCTTGACAGGAGGACTTTTCTTAGCATATCAGTGTTGTCCTTCAATGGTGCCTTGGTGCTCATATGATGACTTCAGGCAACACCGTCTTGCCATTGTGGTGGAAAAATCTAACAACAGACAAGTCTTTTCAGTTGGGGAAGCATCTTGTTCACCCTTGTAGGTGCTTGGTTAATGGAGGAATTCAGGATGTCCCTCATCCTGCTGGAGCAGCAAACCCTTCAGAAGCATCTGGATGAACCTTCTGGAATGGACTTTCTTTTAGTGTCTAGTCCAGTGGTTCTCAACCTTTCTAGGGCTGGGACCCCTTGGTAACATTTGCCAGGTTGTGGTGACCCCCAATGGTAAAATGTAGGAATGCACCAATACTAGTATCTGTGTGGGCTCTCAGGTGGCCAGTGTGGACTCATGTGAGCTCAATATGGCTCTCTCGTGGTCAATGGGGCTCTCACACTGTCAATGGGGCTCTCTGGTGGCCAGTGGGGCTCTTTGATGGTCAAGCTGGCATTCAACTCTCCTCACTCCCGCCCCCCTCTCTCTTTGATCCTCCTCGGCTGCCGGTGCTGCAGCCCCATCGAGCGGTACGGCCGGAGAACTGCTGCTCTAGGAGGTGGCTGAGGAGCCTCTCACTAAGCTCAGCACAAAGCATGTGGTGACCCCCTCAACAGTGGGTTGTGACCCACTTTTGGGTCGCGACCCACAGGTTGAGAACCACTGTTCTAGTCCAACAATGTTTTGGTTATGGCATATGTAAATCAGGGCTTGCCATGGCTCTAAAGGAGACTTATATCTTTCAGTTGGCAGAACAATGTGTTTTGACCTTTTCAGCAGTCCACATTCTTGACATGGGGAATTGGCAGGTGTACTTCCTAAGCCTCAGTGTCTAGATCTGGGAGAGTGGTCTCATCACATGTAGGAGTTATAACAGATCTGCTTCAGTGAGGAATGCTGGATGTGGACCCATTAACTGCCTAGTCAACTGTAAGGTGGACAGGGTCAACACAAGCTCCTGGGATGTGCTGGTGACCACTGAAGCAGTTTGCTCCATTTAGTTGCAGAACGTCTTGAGGTAGGAGTTCCCTTGCTTGAAGCGTCTTCACAGACTTTTTGAAGAAACGAATTGAAAGGCATTTTGGTCATCCTGATCCTGGAAGCCTTGGTAGTCCGTTCTTATTCATCTTTCATCTGGTTGTAGATGTGCTGTGGCAACTTTAAACCGGACCTGTGGATTTGAAGTGAAACTAAAGCCAAAATGTTTTAGTTTTGGATAGAGTGGTGAAGGATTAGTTCTTGTGACCCTGCTGACCACCAGGATTTCCTCTTACTTCCTGTTGTGGCTTTTAGACAGAAAGCGAAGTGGGACGTCTTGGCTTCAGTTCTACTTTAAGGATTGATTCTGCAGCCTTGTTCTCAGTCGCTGGCTTTAATGGCATGCTATTGAAGCCTAGGTATTGAGAGAGGCATTTCTCAGAGGTGGCAATTTATATCATGCTTCATGCCTGATGGTCTCTTTCTCATAAGGTTTACCACCATACTTTAAAGTCTTCTTTTATAGTGTGAGAGTTGGGAGTTCATAGTTTCGTTCCTACGCTATCTGCTGGGTCATTAGTTTTCTCCAGTGTGGTGTTAAACATCTTAGGGTCCTCAAGTGCCAAATCTCAGCCCTGGCTAGCTTTTTTCAGTAGCCTCTAGTGCAGGGGTCTCAAACCTCCGGCCCTCCAGCTGTGGTGGAACTACAAATCCCATGAGGCATTGCAAGATTCTCAAAGCCACAGACATGAATCCCGAAGAGAGCTGCATCATGGGATTTGTAGTTTCACCACAGCTGGAGGGCCGGAGGTTTGAGACCCCCCGCTCTGGTGAGTCAGAAGCCAGTACTACACTCTAAAACAACATAAGGCTATAATCTCACAAAGGTTTTTTTATTGCAGTCTCTACATTTTTGACCCCTCCCACCTTATGTCACTCTGGTGTTAGAGGGTTAAAAGTAAAAAGTGGTGAAAAATCTTCCCAGTGGAGTTACAGGCAGCAATAAAAAAAAAACAGGTAGAAGTTTTAATCTTTTAATGATCAAAACTGCAGAAAAATGTTTATAGGCGCTGATCGCTCATACAAACATTACAAAAATAAATCAACACAAAATTATAGTTTCCTTTTAGAGTACCTCATTTCCTCGAAGATGATACCCATAGTCCGATAACAAATTTGAAATCTTCTGCACATTTACGGCATCATTGAATGGAGTAGCATCACCAATCTCCCCCTTATTTGCCGACACCTACAACAAAATGAATTACATGTTAAAGTGACACTAAATTCAGGAGTTAAATCATAAACACATTCAATTACCTTAACTAATAGCAAAACATGTAGCTTATTTGTGTATCGCTCGGCTGTAGATGCTCAAATCATCTCTGAATTTGTGCTGACACTGTCCTTCTCTTCTGGCTTCTCCAAGCTTGCTACTGTGATGGACTGCAATCCCATGTTCTGTTAGCTAATTTGTATTGAAGTCTTATCACAGGAGCGAGCCTGGAGTGGGGACAGAGGTTTACCAAGAGGTAAACTAGCATAGTGCATGTCACATTCAGACAGTGGAGAGAAATTGCTGGAATGTTTGGGAAAAGAATGGAAAAGGAAAGCATTGTGTCCTAGTTTAGGAGGAAGGGAGAAACCACCTTGGAAAGAAAGTTCTCATGCTTCTTTTGCAACATAAAAAGGTTATAGGTCACATTGCCTGGCAGCCATCTAGTTTTATGTTAGGATATTCATGTTCAAACATCTGTTTCTCAGGAACTATTACAGCTACAGATGTACAAATTGCTGATTAAAGTCATGTTGTGATCTGCACTCAGAACTGATCATTACAAGTCAATTGACGGCATGGTTTGGCAGCCATATTGAATTATGTCAAATTCTACAAATATTTCTATTAATTTGATGCTCTTTTTTTAAATGCTATTACCACACAAATAGAAATACACAGTTAAGGAGCGCTACTACTTTAACCTCTTGCCGTCCGCCCGTAGTAAAAAAACGGACGGACGGCACTGCAGCATCTGCGGGTTGCCGTCTCCAGACGGCAATTTTTTTTAAAAAAATTTCGGTAATTTTTCCTTAATATAGTAAAAAAATAAAACCCCCAGTGGTGAATAAATACCACCAAAAGAAAGCTCTATCTGTCCCCAAAAAAGGGTATAAAATTCATTTCAGTACAGCGCTGCATGACGGAATAAATGTCAGTTAAAGTACCGCAGCGCTGAATACTGAAAAATGGCCTGGATGGGAAGGGGGTTTAACACCGCGGATGTCAACTGGTTAAGGGGTGCAATCTACTTTAAAAAAAAAAATGGAAATCTCTATGTAAGTAATAGTAGAAGGGAAAAAACTCACGGTCGAGTTTTTTCCTCGACCCGGGACATTAGACATCGGAACCCGGGACATTAGACACCAGACGCCATCAACCCAGGTGATCCTCTGCTGAGGCTGCTGCCATTTCTACCGTGAGTTTTTTCCCTTCTATTACTTGCATAGAGATTTCCATTTTTTAGAAGTAGATTGCGCCCCCTAACTTTGTGTATTTCTATTTATGTTGCTTGAGGCTCCTCTCCCTGTTCAAAGGAGCTTAGCACACCGACCACCCCTGTTCCCTTAATGTGACCATTAAACTGGAGTGCGCTAATCTTTTTGTTTAGATTCCAATTCTTACCACACCGTTATGTAAAAACTCACGAAATTTGTCACGAAATTTGGCACAATGGTAGAGAACGATGCTGTGTATAATCTTTGGCAACCTAAAAGTCATAGATCACATGCTCTGGCGGCCATCCTGGTTTAAGCAAACCAATTTTTGACAATTTTCAAACACGTTTGATTATAACTGCTCAGGCTACAGATATACAAATTGCTATGTGAGGATATGCTGAGCTCTACAGTCATATGTTCTTTACAAGTCATGTGACAGCATGGTTTGGCAGCCGTTTAGGATTGTGCAATATTCTGCAAACAATTTAAACTCTGAAACCAGGTATCAATTTAATTCAAAACTTTGCAGATATGTTCCGGGCGACCTCTTCTACCACAGTTGTAAAACCAGGCCTGATCCCAAAATCAATATGGCCGCCACAAGCCAGTCACTTTTAACATTGCATCAAATTGCATAAATGTGCATTTCTATCACTATTGATGTTAAACGTTCTATAACTCAACATCATAACTGCCAAATACAATATGGGTTCCAAAGGTCACCAAGGTCGGCGGCCATTTTAAATTGCAATTTTTTTTATAATTCATGAAATCATGTCCTGCTATTTTTCTCTAACTACAATATCTTCTCATGTGCTATAAATGGCTCTACTGCTTGGCCACCTTTATTCCTGCTTGCAGCTATATTTATTATTATTAAGCCACTTTTTTCAAATGCCTGTAAAAGGAGCTACGTTAGTCAAAAACTCATGAAACTTTGCACAAAGGTAGAGCCCCGTGCTCTGCAGAGCTTATTGCAATAAAATGTCATAGGTCACATGATGTGGCAGCCATCTTGGTTTTTGCGACAATTTTTGTGAACTACTCAAAAACCTGCTTGTCCAGAACCACTAAAGCTACAGATGTACAACTTGCTGTGCTTTGTAGCCACATGTGTTCATTATAGCTCTATTGGTCACATGGTGTGGAAGCCATTTTGGATTGTGCAACATTCTGCCAGCAACTTAAACTCTAAAACCATTTATCAGAATAACTTAAAACTTTGCACATATGTCCAGGGTGACCACTTCTACCACGGTTGTAGAAACAGGTCCGATCCCAAAATCAATAAGGCTGCTGCAAGCCAATGATATTTAGATAGTGTTATTGTTATGGCTTTTTTTTTTTTCAAAAGACTGTAATAAGCACACTGTTACTCACAAATTCACACAACTTGGTCCAATGGTAGAGCTCTGTGCTATGCCTAATCTTTTGCATCATAAAGGTCATAGGTTACATTTCCTGGCAGCCATCTTATAGGTGACAATATCCAGCTCTATATTCAAACATTTGTTTCTCAGAAACTATTAAAGCTACAGACGTACAAATTGCTGTGTAGAATTATGCTGTGATTTGCACTCAGAACTGATCATTACAAGTCAATTGATTATATAGTTCGGCGGCCATATTGCAATGTGTCAAATTCGACAAATATATTTCTATTATTTTGATGCTCTTTTTTTCAAATGCTAAATATTACCACACCGTTATTAAACACGTGTTTAATCTTTGGCAACACAAAGATCATAGGTCGCATGCTCTGGTGGCCATCTTGGTTTTAGCAAACCTATTTCTGGTCATTTGCAAACATCTGTTTTTTCCTAACCGCTAAAGCCAGAGATATACAAATTGCTATGTGAGGATATGCTGAGCTCTACAATAATACATGTTCATTACAAGTCATTTGATAACATGGTTTGGCAGCCATATTGGATTGTGCAATATTCTGCAAACAACTTCACCTCTGAAACCATATATCAGAATTATTCAAAACTTTGCACATATGTCCAGGGCTACCTTGTTTACCGTGGTTGTAAAAACAGGTCTGATCTTAAATTTAATATGGCTGTCACAAGCCAATCACTTTTAATATTGCAGCAAATTGCATAACCGTGCATTTCTATCACTATTGCATGTTAAACTTGTTATACATATAACTCATCATAACTGCCAAGTACAATATGGGTACCAAATGTCACAAAGGCCGGCAGCCATTTTGAAGTTGGAAAAATATGACAATTAAATGGAAACTTATGCAGTTTTACAGGTCTATTGCGAATACATAACTTTGTTATTTATATATCTTACTACATCATCTTCTTTCATGTGCTATAACCGGCTCTAATGCTTGGCAAACTTTATTGCTGCTTGCAGCTATATTAGTTTAAATCGCCCACATTTTTCTTACACAATCATGAATTCAGCGCTGTAGTCCCCAGAATGTCCTGACTGACAGTAGCCCTGGACAACAATGAATGTTTTCTTATCCAGCAGTTTCCTGTGGATCAGCAGCTGGGTTATCCAGATGTCATCCTGATGGTAATCCCTAAGAGCAGAGTGCAGACACTCCTCGTCAAGAGAGCTTTCTAACAGCTTAAGTAGTAGATATTTTAATGCTTATATGTTTCCTTCAGTCCAAATGGTTTCAGGTTCCCAAATAGGACACACAATTATCCAGGTAGGGTGATAGCAAATCATTTGCCTGTGGCCCGTCTGTCCAGGTTTCCCTCTCCTTTAGACTGACTCCAGCAGGTGCTACATACAAACATATCCAAAACTACCTTACGCGGCTTGGCGGTTGCAAGTAAAGTATGCCTTGCTAGGATTACTCCTCTTCAGTTATTGTTTGTTGAATGCTAGAGCACCTACTAAATGTCACATATTCTACAGTGTGGAATAAGTTCATAGACTTTGCAAGCTTAAAAAGGTTTTGTCGTTCTTCACCTTGCCATGATAGATCTATTGGACATTCTTCAGGCAAGCGATATGTACTTGGGTGTCAGTTTCCTCTATCCGCATCCTCAGACACAATGGGCAGCTCCATTAATTGATAAGCTAGCTCTTAAAGTGACAAACTCTGATTTTTTAACATAAAACAGTACTGTAATGTGTGCCTTACTGTAATCCATGGTAGTTTCCCTTCTCTTTGCTGCTCTTCCTTTTAAATCCTTCTCTTCTCATGCTGGGGAGAACTTCCGTTTTGCAGCTGACTGCCTCTTCTCTGGAATGTTACATTCACATTCTCAAATAATTCATCCCCCCTCAGCTACCTCCTCATGTATCATTTCCCCCTCCTCTTTTAGACTGTAAGCCCTCAGAGGCAGGGCCCTCCTTACCATCTTTTTTTGAAATGTATTGTAATGTCTTCCTTACATTGTAAAGCGCTGTGCAAACTGTTGGCGCTATATAAATACTATGCAATAATAATAATAGTGTCTGTGTGCCCGCTCCCGACCTGAGCCAGGACTACAGGATGACGTCCTCCCGACATCCCATGATGCCTGCATGTGCTGTTTCTTTTTTCTGCTGTGTTCGTGTCTGATCGATCCTCCTAATCAGAGCAAGGTATTTTTTTTCCTCTTTTTTTTTTTAAACAGACTTTATTGCTTAGGTTTTTTTTTTTTTTTAAGAACAACCTATTCATTGTATTGTGCACTGTGTGATGGCTGCAATCCTTTTTTTTTTTTAAAGAATTATTTCCTATGTGTTGATATATATTTAGATAATCAATGTAATATTTATATTGCTGCATTT